GAGATACACGGTCCTCCTTTCATAATTTTGCTTTCTGTTTCACCAGTTTTTGGATGGGCTGTATGTTAATTTTTCAAAGAAACTTCTACAGGCTGCTGTAATACTATTTACAAAACTTCTGGATTCCTCCTGCGTCGGTTTTTGCTGACGTTTCGCCAATCATCCTGTTGGCTTCTTCAGAACTGAACTGAAAACTCGACTGGCACAATAGGAATCCAAAAGTTTTTTAAATAGGGTTGCATGTCTTATAGATATATGACCTTAGTCCTAAATCGAAGTACTAATTGAATTGAACAAACGTTAATAATGAGGTTCAAAATGCAAAATTTTGTTACCAACCGCAAGTCGTTAAAATGACGTGTTTTACTTTGAAACAAAGTGGATGATAATTTTGCCCCGATGTTTTACCAATTAAAAAGTTTCGGCTCAGGTTTGAGCGGTGAGAGTATGCCGACCGGTTTAATTTTAATGACGGACTACAGTTTTAAACTTTCCGCGACGATATTCAGATTACAAAGTTGGCAACTTTGCGGCTCCGGTTTTTTTTTCTGGAATCCCGGTGCTTTCGAGATGTGGAATAGAATGAATTAAAACTTATTGTTATTAAAATGTATACTTAAATATTTCGTTACACCAAGACCATTAATTAGCCATAATTAAAAATTGATCAACGTTAACTAGCTCTAGCTCTAGTCCTGAAAGGTAGCATAGAGTTTTGGAACATTAGAGTACAAACCGGATTTCGCGCCGGTCTATCCTGTTTGGATAATACTCTCGTAATTCAACACCTTGCGGAAAAGAGAATTGCAACAAACATGACAACCAATTTAATGTACATGGGCTTAGAGAAAGCATATGAGAGCGTGCCAAAAGGCAAATTGTTCAACAAACAAGAGCATCGCAAAACATACAACATACCAAAACTCTCTTGACATAATAAAGGATGAGAAAATGTTCCGAGATGGGAATACCAATAGGGGAACCTTGCTGTTTGCACACAATCAGGTAGTAATAGCGAATTATGAATACGAAATTCAGTATATGACGAGAAAACTAATGCAAGAATATTCGAAGTGGGGACTCAACACATCTAAAAGTGAACATCTAGTAGTCGGAGGACCCCTTTCAAATGTACAACTCAGAAATGTAATTGAAGGCTAGAGAAAAGTGTAAGTACCTAGGAAAGAGCTATACAAGGTCATAGGACAACAAGAATAAACATTACAAAACTATTATTGTTATTATAGGTGACCAAGAAGACTCCTAGTATATACACCGACAAATAATAGGAAAAGAGGGAGACTCCGCAAATCTTGAACAGAAGGAATCCAAGATACCACGAGAAAGAGAGAAATGAACGAGGAGGATTGCCACAATAGGGAAATCTGTAGATTGAAGTGTGGGAAGTAACTAAGGCTGGAGAATCTCCGCCTATATACATATGAACATTAACAAGCGTGAGGGACGACGTAAACCAAATCATCCAAATATTACATATATAATATCAGATTTTAAATTAAATTTTACCGTTAACATATCATGTCAAACACCATCAAATGTTATCGCCTCGCTTCATTTCATCATAGTTTTATTGCTTCTGTCTTTTTTTGTAACGCGCAAGTTTTCCAGATACTATAGGCAGTGCATTTAAATCCAAAGTTTTATGAACCGGCTTCCTCTCAGAGTTGCATCTTCTATGGAAGGTTGAAGATCATCATGGCACTGTGGACATCGTTGACAGCCGCTCGGTGCTGCTACAGCCGAACCAGTATTTCAAATTTCTCAGCCAGGATATTTTCCGCCTTCCAACACTTCGTTTACCTCGGATCTGCCCCTGCACAACCAGTTGCAACAAGCTATATCGGGGTCCCCTCAATAGATGTCCTAGGTATTCAAGTTCGCTCTTTTTCCTTGTGTAAACCTCAACGTTAGAGATCCTTGCTTCCATACCCTATAGAAGGGTGGAAAATACACGCATTAGTTAGTATAGAACTTTTTAGGCCTGACACTTTTATTTCTTTGGTGTGATACATGTTTGAACTTATACATGTTCGTAAGTACATGTTGCGATGTTCGTGGGTAACATAAATTTAGTTTTGTTAGGGTTGATCTTTAGACCATATTCATTGCAGCATGTATTAATTCGATTCATTAGGTCTTGCAAGTCGACGAAGCTATTTGTATCAATTTTTAAGTATTATTGTCAATGGGATTTTCAGGTGCTGGTTGTGTTTTGAACAATGCTGCTACATTGATGATCTCCTAATTAGCCCTAGGGTCCATTTTTTCCTATTGTTTTTTCACGGTCGGACCCCCTTACTTGAATTAATTTACTCGAAATACAACCAGAAAATTATCCTAGAAACGTTTCTACTTAAACTACCCCTGTCTCGCTAGGAAATGTTTTTCGCGGAGCCGTATAAAAATGCCTAGTTTGCATTTTTATTCGACGTCCGGGTTTTAATTGTCCCCCCGGACGCGAGAGGGGGCGGGGAAGGGAGTCGTTTACGCGAATATTAAACGCGTTGCATATCGAAAAAACAATTTCTGGGGGGAAATTAACCGCCGGACTGGCAATTAAGCGACGGAAATGGACCTAATCGCGTGTACTGGACCGACAGGTGTGACGCAATAAAAACCGTCTCAATTAGTCCGTAGTGTGGACACGCCCCTTTCAGATTTTTCCGTCGCGCGATGCAGCTATAGTCGCGAAGGATATTGCCAATCGTAAACGTGTAAATTGAATGTTTATGGAACTTTCGGGGGACCTGTTTTTTCTAGCCAATTTCGCCCACGGTTATTAATTTGATAAATTACGCCGATAAGGAATGGGGCTTTTGACGTAATAGAGATCGCGTGTCACGTGACACGCACACGAGATAAGGACGTTTTATATCGAATAAAAAAGAAAATCAAAAAAATCGAAAATTCCAATAATCTTGTGAAAACGCGCTTGAATGTAATTTTGTTTAACCATGCAAATGTTGTTGTTTTTTTCAAATTTTGTTTGAGACACTTAAAAATATAGACGGATCTATTTAATATATATTTTTCAAATGCGATGTTATTTTAGATGAGTGGCGAAACTCACTCTAAATTCTTTGGTTATCAACTTAGAAATATATGTTTTTTATTTACTTTAGAAATTTGATAAATTAATATTTCGCCTGCGGTCGAGATGTCTCTTTTGCATTCGTTTCGTGGCATAAAACAAGTTCTTTGTGCAATCTCCATTTAATTCCAAGCAAGGCCCAAAAACTTCAAAGTTAGGTTAAGTAATAATCAACATTTTTATATAGTTTATTTATAACAGTTTATATGGCAATTTTATATCATTGTTTATACAATACAATACACTCGTACCAACGCTTTTCCAAATCCTCGAAGCACTTTCTGATATAGCATTGAGTTCTTCCAGCGATTTTTTCTCTATCTCTTCAATCGCTCCCAACATCCTTCCTTTCACGGGTTTCTTAAGTTTTGGGAACTGGAAAAGATCGCGGGCACCATATCCGGTAAATATGGTGGCTGAGGCATGATTCCGGTTTTGTTTTTGTCCAAAAAATTAAACACTGGTGCATTACCGGTGCAAAATCCACGAATAGTTTTCCCACCATTCCCGACATTTTCTTCGTGGTAAAAACTCTCGATGTACTACGCCACAACAATCAAAGAAAACAGTAAGCAAAATCCTGACATTTGATCGGACCTGACTTGCTTTTTTGGTCTTGTAGATTCTAGGTTCTTCCATTGAACTGTACTTTGGTTTCTATATCAGGATCATAATTAAAGTCGTTTACCAACTCTTGAGCAATGCTCATTCGACGATCATTTTGTTCAAAATAAGTAGTTTCGAAACTAATTTTGCACTCCTCTATTAGTGATTCCACGATTTTTCAACTCCATTTGTTTCACTTCTTGAACGGTTTCATTAGTAACTGATGTGCTGGGGCGTCCAGAGCGAGGTACGTCATCGACGTGTCCTTGGCCATCTTGAAATAGCTTGTACCACTTACAATAGTATATTATGCAAACAAGTGCGGTAAACCGCATTTAACTCCCGAGTTTATTTGACACAAGTTTACTGAACGTGTTGCATACTATACTGTTTCTACGACCGTTAGTTTTTGTACATTTTCGCAAAACACGAATACATTCACTGACATGACTGTCAGAATTGACAAACGTCAAAATTCAAAGCGTGGGAAATATCTCCGAAGACACACGATTGCTGCCAAATCCGTGCGTTAAAATCCCGGAAATGTCCGAAGTGGCTTGGATTCGTGGAAAACGGAACTAACGTGGTAAAGTGACGCTTCCCGCACGCTAGATCGGTGGGTAATTAGATATTTTACAAACGGGAATAGAAAAACATTTTTTTGCTCAAAGTGGATTGATTCAAGTGATTTGCAGCACTGTATTCCTTTTTTCACACGAACATTTAGGCAAATTCTTTGTTCCATTTTTTTTACGGCAGAAAAGCACACAAAACACCTCTAACGCTTCGGTCTGGCAAAAAACAATAAACGTGTAAAGTGGCTGAAACTGTGAACATATCTAAGGGACATGTGAACCAACATAACAAATAAAAAATATCGAAGATCAGTTACAAAAGTCACTTTACTTTTTGAACACGCCACGTATAAAAAAATACAATTTATGCACATTTGACATAAGGGAAACTCCTGCAATTGTCTCAAAAAATTCATATCTGCTTCGCGTGTCCACTAAATATTCCAAACTTGCTAAACTAACTTCACTTCATTTTCACTCTGACAACAAAAATGCTAAATATTATCTAATTTTAAATTTAATTTCTGGAGCATGTCAGGATAACCGCACTCTAAGCTATACCTAACAGTCTCACAAACGACTACATTAAGCACTTGAACTATTACAAAAGTAGGATAAGAAACGACCTGGATTTATCTAAACATTCCCTGGATACCGTCTTGTGTTGAAGCAACTACCAAAAATGTTTTTTAATTGGACAACCGGTATTTGGATCGTGAAATGGTTTATTTTGTTCACTGTCGCAACCCGCACAAAATATTTTCCTTAACTAGACATCACGTGGTTCGAAAGGGTATCGATGATGGTCATCCTGTTGAACTGCATCACCCTGGGGATGTATCAACCGTGCGTGGATAAGGACCCGTGTGTTACCAACAGGTGCAGGATATTGCAGGTTGGTTGACATTTTAGACTGTGCAAAATTTTAATTGCCGTTCGTGTCGAGTAGAAGCAGCCAAAGAGTGTCGTTTAAGTTAATGAGACTTTTCGGTAATCGCCTCTAATGGATATTGCGAAATCCCTTTTGTTTTCGTCGAGACGCGTCTCCCTTATGCAGTGCTTTTAACAATTATATCATTTCAAATTTTCTTCTATTTACATTTGTTAGTATGAAGTACGTAAAATTTTATAACTAGCAAGTGCCACGACATTTAATTATGAGATTGATTCCAGTAGGTATTTTACAATATTAAATTCGGAAAGTAATCAATCTCCTTTGTGATCCGTTATAATTTTTTTTTCCATATTGCATGTCTATTTATATACAAGGTATGCAAAAAAACCATGGTATATTATTTCAAAAAATGAAAGGCCTTTTTATGTTGAATTCATTTTATGGTTATTTTCTACACTTAGTTGGCCACGCAGCATCATGGCGCTAAGCCAACATGTGGTTTCTTTAATTATAACAGTTGTGGCATATCTTAAATATTACTATTTTAAAAATTCGATGAAAGAATAATAAATGTTTTCACTTGAAGAACATTAGGACCAGATGCGAATATAAGGAAATACATCCATACGATCCAAAGTAATATTCAATAATATAATATATATTTAATAATATTCAATATACAACATTTTAAACATACAAAACTTTGAAAAATTAAGCTTCGTTATAAATCCTAATGAAGAATTACATATCTTTTTAATACTACTTAGGTAGGTTTGTTAAACAACTTGCTTAGCGAAATAAATTAAATTCCACCCTTTTTAATTTACTACAGACTAGACTGCCGAATCGAGATTCTCCATAGCATGGATGCTCAATAGATAGAAATACTAGCCAGTAGAAAATCCGGAAAAATATTTCAAAGTTCAATATTTTGGACATCGAACCTTATTTTTTCTAACTCGACTATAACTCTATTTCAGGGTTTTGAGGAAAGAAAGAAAGGAAGGTTTTTAGAAACCGTCACCAATGGAAAATATATGGCAACAGAATGGCGCCCTTTGTCATATAGAATATTTAAAAAAGGTACATACATAACGTGGGTTCAGCGATGCGGCACAATATTTTGGCCAGCCTATAGCCAGGATTTTCATATTCCAGATAATTTTGGTTGGGAGGACGGATATTTAAAAAACAAAACTTATTAAAGAACCAATTAGAAGCGAAATAAATTATATTAAAGATTTGCATCCTGACTGGATATTTAAAGCTTTAGACAGAAGGCAAAAGAAGGCAGTGTTTTTTAGGAAAATGAACATTTTCAACATTTACCGCAACATTCCTAATCAATAAATCGGTGTTTACATATTTGTTTTTTTTTGTTTTTATATAATATGTCTTTTATATATAACCACAATATTCTGTCAAGTGAAAATATTATTCTCTTATCGACTTTTGAACAATAATAATATTCAACCGTCACCTAATTTAACAAAAGACATTGCGTTAATGTAAACCATACTCTATTTATATATTTTTGAAATCAAAAATTAAAAAATAATAATAATAATAATAACACTTATATGGTATGCTTTATTGGCACACCTTGTATACAAATAAGGATCTAACATTAAATCTACACATTAAACTACACTACAGCCTTTTTATTGCCTTGGTTTTCAGGTGATATTTTCTCATATGAAACTCCCAAAATATTCAAACATTTCGAATCAAATTTCTTTCTTCTCTCAAAAGCAATCTCGGAGTAGATTTCCTCTTCGTAACATATTTTGTTCCATTCTTCGTAATTCTTTTGCCATGACGATAAGCTCCAGGAAGGCACTTTTATAGTTTCATTTTCATTAGCAATTTATTCAAAGTAAACGTCGAAAAAAGTTGTTATATAGCGGCGATTATTTATGTACTCGATATATAAAATTTAAGTCTTAAACGTCAGTCTGAAACATAAACCATTTAGAGACGTCGCAGTCGGCCGATAAGAAGGAAAGAAAACAAAGCGAAATCGGCTCCGCGGTTTATGTTACTAACGTAATACGACAAGCGTTTTCTTTACATTTACAAGGGCTACCTTTTATGTTTCGAAATTTGTAATAAAAAACTATAAGCTACCAACAAATATGTCTTTATTGTTGCTCAAAATATTCACCGTTAAAGCACTTTTCCCACATCGAGTCGGGCACCTCCAAAACATGCTTTTTAAACGCACCAATCGCTTCTTCTGGTGTCAAAAATCGTTGCCCACGTAATTTATTCTTAATGTATGGGCAAAAAGAAAGCTATACGGACAATTCACGGATCAACACCTCTGGCACATTGTCGCAATATCTTCAAGAGGCTATAAATCATGACACTTCTTAGTCTGTTCATTTACCTTGCGCTGACCCACGTCCATAAAAGTATACATGCTTTTGAAAGACATATCATCGTACCATACTATTCCAGAATGACGACCTCGGCAAGGAATAAGCCTCGCACCGACTTGTACAATGTTCTTCCTCAACATATCAGAGACTTGTCACAGTTTAAATTCTCCAGAGAAATTCTTCTGGGACATGTTTTTTACTCAATTACAGAATACACCATTTCGGCCAAATACGAATTTTAGATCAACATATGTTTTATTATCTACCTATCGATATTTACGATTTCTGTTAAGTTTTAGATTCCATCGTTTTTACACTTTATAATTTATGTATTGTACTTTTGTAGTGTATGTCTATTGTATATTTTGTCATATTGCTTTCACGCATGGAATTTTTCTATTGTTTATACGATTTATTTATCCACAACCACAAGTTGTCAGCGTTTATCTTTCTTTTTTCTTTTGTACTACTGACGCGCCATTTGCTGTAAAGACTTTTTATGTAAAAAATGGCTAAATAAATCTATCTATCTATCTATCAAAAGAAGTCATTAGGTGTTAAATCTGGACTGTATTTTGGAGAGCTTATCAAATTAACGTTTTTAATGCTCAAAAAGTTATTTGTTTGTATTGATCGGTGAGAGCTAGCATTGTCGTCGTGGAGAGTGATTCGTCTTCGGCGGTCGGTTTTTCTAATTTTTTCGAAGACTTTCGGCAAACAAATGGTTGTGTACTATTCAGAATTGACTATTTTATCTTTCGCCAAAGAAACAGTTGCAACGTAGCCGGTTATCCTGAAAGACCCACGCCGTCGACTGCTGCTTACTTTCAGGTTCATATGCATAGAGCCATGATTCATAGACGTGTTTGGAAGCACCGCGATCGTATGTTTTTAGCATTTCCTTCGACCAATCAACAGAAGCCTTTTTTTGAGCTGTTGTCAAATTGTGTGGAACGCAACGCGAACAAATTTTTTTAGCATTTAGTTCATGGAAAATTATATGTATGCTGATGCCACTAATGCCCGAAGATACATCAATCTCATGGTAAGTCACATGACGATCCTGCAAAATCAGTTTCCGCACTGCATCAATGTTTTCTTGGACAACCACCTATTTTGGACGACCTTCACGAAATTCATGCTTAAGAAAACTACGACCACGACTGAAGTCCGAAAACCAATGATAAATAGTAGTCCTAGATGGTGCTTCAGCTCCAAAAGTCGAATTAAGTTCATCGACGCATTGTTGTTGAGTTAGTCCGTCTAAATTTGTAAAAAATTATGGCACGAAAATGCTCCCGATTAAGTTCCATTTTTCACCGATCCAATTTTTTTAATATATCACAAAAAACACAAACAATACTCTTTCGCCAAAACCTAACTGAGCAAACCTAACCTCAAAATGTCAAACTTTCCTATAAAATCGTTAGTCGCCAGATGGCGTTAGTTTAAAAAGATCTTGAAATATAAAAGGCAGCCCTCGTACACGAGAGGTTATAAATTTGACGCAACGATCGCGAGCAATGAAGTTACTAATCCAGATACTCGCGCGTCGTTTCCAGAGGTTCGACGAGTTCATTTTCGCTTTCTTCTCGCTGGAGATGACCATTAAAATGATCGCGATGGGTGTTTACGGCAAAGGCTCGTATCTGGCCGACTCCTGGAACAGGCTGGACCTGTTCATAGTGGTCGCAGGTGCGGTTGAATACGGTCTGCCCAACTTCAACAATATCAACCTGTCGGCTGTTAGGACCATCAGGGTACTGAGGCCACTACGGGCGATCAACAGGATTCCAAGTAAGTATTTTTCATGTAAATTGTCGCCTAACGAAGAAAGAAGGCTCTACTGAAAAAAAACTATGCCAGTGATTCAAGGGCAGTCAGAGAGAGTTGAACTCGATCCTGGTGTATCATACCTCGCCAGATTGTTTCTTGTTTTTAATCTTGCGAAGCTGAGAGTTTCGGCGTCAGAACTTGGGCTATCTTTTTATAGTCTGCAATTTCCAGTTTAAATTAAAGAAAATTGAAAATATCCTTTTGCATGTTGCCTAAATTTTTCCGGTCTTGACTATAGAAAACTCACGAGTTAGCTATTGCTAAATCATAAATGGGAACGAAAAATGGTTTTTACAGTCCATTTTTTAGTCCAGCAGACATCCTGTAGTAGCTTATCATCCTGTCCTATGAGGTCAATGCCTCCCACGCAGTCGTTGTAAGTAACTTGAATGTACTCAGAACTTTTTTTTACACCATCGTTTATAGCTATCTACAGGTTGCGCTTCTAATGCTGTGGAATGGAAGATATTAAAACTGGTTTTTGATCAAACCATTGAACGACGTTGATATGACCATCATTCCTAACTGTTTGTTCTGTAAAACCTCCAGAAAACTTCTTTATTACTTTCTCCGCTGTCAAATGTGTTCCTGTGCACTTTTTTTCTCTCAAAAGATACTCTAAAAGCGGAATTGTTGTAAAAATGCCATCACTAAACACATGAGAACCTGCTCCCAGAGAATTGGACAAACGGATTGCAGCACTAGGTGCTACTCCCAAGTCTACGTTACAAGCGTTGAAGTAATATTCCTTTTCCTTGGTAAAATTCAAAATTGAAGACTAATCCTTCTGGTGTCGCACAAACAAAATTTTTTAGGTTGGGTTTGCTTCTGACAAACTGCTTAACTTTACACACACCCGTAACAGGAATCAATTGCTCATCTATAGCTGCTATGGGATGACTTTCTAAGGATAAACAGAAATCTTTTTTTTTACAAACCTTCTGAATTCCCCCTGCGTCGGTTTTTATAAAGCCGAACTTGCTACCGTTTCGCAAATCATCCTTTTGGCTTCTTCAGAGCTTGATTGAAACTGTCAACAGACAGACGGACAGAAGCCAACAGTCCGACTCAACAAAAACCGACGCAGGAGGAATCCAGAAGATATGTAAAAAGGACTACAGTAGCCTGTGGAAGTTTCTTTGAACAATCTTTTATTTTGTTGATGAGTGGTCTTATATATATATATATATGGGGTTTGTTACAGCTCGGGCCGTTTTCCCTCTCTCAACCAGACTCTCCATTCATCTTTGTCATTCCAATCTCCGTCTTCCAACCCCCTTTCCTCCATGGCTTCATCTATTTCATCCCTCCACGATCTTCTGCGTCTTCCTCTCTTTCTACGTCCCATAGGGCTCCACTCTGTGATTTTCTTTATCCACCGTCTATCGTCTGACATGACCATACCATTTAAGCTGTTTTTCTGCTATTGTAGTTAATAAGTCTTTTTCTACATTCATTTGCCTCTTGATTTCTGCGTTACGTATTCTATCCATGCGTGTTCGTTGGCAACACCTTCTCCAATATTCCATTTCTACGGCGGTTGCTTTAGATCTGCTCTTTTTGTTCAATAGCCAGGTTTCTGCTCCGTATGTAATTATACTTTCTACTATTGTCTTAAATATTGTTGTTTTTGTTTTCTTTGTTAATTTCTTGTTCCATATAATGGAGTTCAGTTGTTTTATACATGTTCTACCCTGACCTAGTCTAGATTTGATTTCTTCTTCTGTTGATCCATCTTTTGTTATTATACACCCTAAGTATTTAAATTTGTCTGTTGCTTTTACGGTTGTGTTTTCATCTATTTCCAAATCTTCGATTATGAGTGGTCTTACTTTCCATAATTTTTCCCCTGGTAAGGGCAGCCCAATACATTTTAATTTGCTTTGCGTAAACTTGAAACCTATCCGTTTTTTTCCACCTCCAGCGACACCTCAGAACAGTCTGAATCAGATGAATTATCTAAAAGATCCCGGTCAGCGTTTTCATCGACTTCCATTTCAACGTCATCTTCAACCACATTATTTTCTTCAAAGGATAATTCCTCTGAATTTTCATTGCTGTTGACAAGATTCTCAGCGATATCACATTCAAAATCGTCGCCATCGTCTTCGGCTCTCACAATGTCAGAATCTTCCAAACAAGCCAATATTATTTCATCATCTTCTCCGAAACTAAGTTACTTTTTGTCACCAAAAATTGCTTAAAATAAAAAAAAAAACATTAATTTAAAGTTGTACAAAACATGCATCAAGGAGCAATGTCCATTTAACTGTACACGATATTTTTTCAGTTGTAGCACATGCAAACAGGTAATAAATAACATGAATGGTACATAGGCAGCGAGCCTAAAGATCCCACCACTTGTTAAAAGTTTTTCTTTATTTTTACCACAAAATCATAAATACACTCATATTTACTTCGCACAGGTGTTCGTAGAATGTGGACGGTAGCGTATATCTTAGTCCAGTTTTTGCATAGATGGCAGCACTAGTACGTCCATTTTAGTGTACAATTGGATTTTAAAGTGTAAAATTACCGATTAGCTTAATAATAAATTAAATTAAAAATAGATTTAAATGAACTTATAGATAGAAACATTTTAATGCAGCGCCCTGTCCTACAGTGGGGTGCAGTGATTTTAAGACTCTTTGTAGATAAAAAGAAAATCTCGCAATTATCTGTAATTGTAATTATCCGTGGACTTAAAATTCTTCGCCCGAGTCGGTGGCGGTCGCTGATCGAAAACGCTGCAAATGCCACCCGTCTAGTTTCGGCTGACTGTAATTACTTTTTATTCCGCTGGTTCGTAGAGCCTCGAATTAGAGTGTGCGCCGCGTAAACATTTAAAGGAGTTTCTTTGCTCCCTACCAATGTGGGGTCACGAACGGACTTTAGACAGAACGTAATATTAGGTTTGTAAATTTCAGTCATTGCAATGGCGTTCACTTTGATCTGGTTTTAACATCTGTGTTCTGAACATGTGATTAACGAGAATCTTTGAATCTGATCGCCTGAAAGATCTATTACCTGATAATTAGGTTAATATACCTTGTTACAGCATTGCCCCTCCTCGAGGTAGTTTTACATAAAAAATAGTTTTTTACATGTAAAAATATATAATTTCGTGAAAATCTGAACTTTTAGTTCTTATTTATTTTGATAAATGGATTTTCATCAAGTAAAAGCGACCTCAGTTCAATAAAAAATAGTATAAATATAGGTGCATTATAACAATGTTTGAACAAAGTTTTTCACTAGTTAGAATACAGGGGAAAACTTTGTGTCTAGGTAGCTTATACAAGCTACCTGATATTGACCTTATTTCTAGAGTACTTTAGTTGAACTTATTCCCGACCGTGACTATTTGATATACGATAACACTGATTTTCTAGTGGATTCTTATAACATCAACAACCGATGTTCATTTTCTATGCAATCTAGTTACTTCTATGGACATAACCCATCATGGGTGGGTGATATTAAAGTGCAAAAAATCCAACCTTCGTGACTTGTATAGCATTCTCTGGAACAATATTTACTCCATGGACTCGTCGACCAAATGGTCAATTTTTCCAATAATTCAATCTTGACGCTTTTTAACAAACACAATCAGCTTGTGATCCAGTGCTGGCGGCTGCAGTGAATTTAGTGAGACTTTTATCAACAATGTGCTTCTCTTAAAAGTGGATGAATATACCATTCAGTAATATAGTTCTAACAAAATTTATGATTTAATATGTGAACTGTCTTTTCATTAATTCACCAGCCCTTAAGATAATAACTTATGTTGTTCCGCATATACGAGGTTAGCGCCAAAATTTCCCGACCTGACATAGATGCAGCTCCAGTATCACAAGACTTTGTCTTCTTTTAAATATATATCTTAGTAGGCTACGAAAAAAAAAATGAAATGCGTCAAATAGTTTTTTATTGACAGCATTTTAAACAAGACGTGTCCCAAAAAATGTCGTAAATAACGCAAATTGAATATAGAGCAGTCATAATTTTTTTGACAAAAGAAGGTTTAGCACCTAAAATTATTAAAGAAAGGCTGGATGGTGTGTACGGCCAAAGTTCTCCTTCGTATTCTGTAGTGAAAGAATGGGCAAAACGTTTTCGAATGGGACAGGAGTCCCTTGAAGATGATTCAAGAACTGGTCGACCAGTGGAGGTCATAACGGAAGATATTGTTGCGATTGTGGAAGAGGTGGTATTGAGTGATCGACGTTTAAAGGTCAAGGAAATCTCAGAAATTACTAAGCTTTCTGATACAAGTGTTCGTCGAATCTTGCATGATCATTTAGGTATACATAAGGCTAGTGCAAGATGGGTTCCTAAAAACCTTTCGGCTATTCAAAAACAACGCCGTGTCGAGTGTGCGCGGTCTTTTTTGGAACTCTGTGGGTCGGAACCGAAGCCTGTGATAGAAACTATTGTGACGGGAGATGAAACTATGGTTCTCTATTATGACCCTCTATCGAAAAAAGAATCAATGGAGTGGCGTCGTAAGGGTGAAGCACCTCCAAGAACATTCAGAGTCTGCCAGTCAACAAAAACAGGTGATGGCCACGATCTTTTGGGATTGTGAAGGAATTATTTTCATATATTTTAAAGAAAGTAATACAACTGTCAATGGTAAATATTACGCAACATTATTACATAAATTGCGAGACTGCATACGTGTAAAACGTCGAGGAAAACTGACCAGAAGCGTGCGTCTTTTGTACGATAATTCACCTGTCCAAACTGCTGGTATTGCACAAGCTGCCATTTTAGAGTGCGGATTCCAACAGATAGATCATCCTCCCTATGGTCCAGATATGGTCCCCAGCGACTATTATTTGTTTGGATATTTGAAAAAGGACTTACGTGGACGGCGGTTTAACGACGAAGTTGAGTTAAAAGAGACTGTTTTAGCTCATCTTGCAGACAAACCAAAAGAATATTTTTTTAAAGGGATT